TTTTTTAAATTGAGTGTTGTTGATGAGAGTCTCAATCTCATCTTCCCCCATACCGTTCATCATATTTTGCGCCGATACCTGCCAAGATTACCATTGCATCAAAACCAGGAACTGCTGATCTCACCCCGAGCAGAGCCTGGGCCTGCTCATCAAATGCCCTCACCATCACTTCACCTGAATAATGATAGTCGTAGAACTACGAGTTCATACCAAGAGAGTGTACCGGATATATCGGCTAGTTTGATGCTGATTATGTACCTTGGCATGCATTGCGGATTTTGATGGCCTTCAATACCTACACATAAGCAGGGACTCTCTCACATGAACAGATGGAAGCTCCATTCGTCTGTAGTGGTGTATTTCGAAGAACTCAGCGAGAGTAGTACTCACATGACCACGTCCCCGTAGAGATGTCCTGCTCGACCTTCTTGCTACATTTACGTATACCGCCACGACCATCAGGTATCTCCGTTATGCAACTTGTATAGTAGAGAGGCTGAGGACAACGTCCAATAGTATCAACAGAAGGAGGGTACTATACGGTGTTAAGATAGCCACGTGGACGATGCTCGATTCACAGAGAGGATCACTTACTTTGTCGTTGGACTTGTAGATCTGCGCTACTGTTGCGCGCTGAATGTTGTGAGTATTGACAGGACGTGAATTGGGGACATCTGATGATGCCTGGCCAGAGAGGCTCAAGTAGAGGTTGTTGTCCATCCTCATGACGCTGGAAAGGGAAGAACAGGAAGGAATAAAACAGAACCCCGCCAGTCCGGTGATCAGTGTGATTCCGAAACAGTTTATAGATGCCAATTTCCAAGCTATGCAGTGATACAGAGCGGTCGTACTATGCCAAAGTGCAGCTTACTCAATAACCGTCTTAGGAGCGTTCCCTCCAGCACCACCTCCTCCACTCGACAAGGCTTGTACCGCACCTTATAAATACATGTACAGTAGTAGTCATCATATAAAAATGCGTATAGCATTAGCCATCGATGAGTCTCGTCCTATTCCCCTACCTGTCTGTCCCCCTTGCAGCCACCAATTCTTGACCTCAAAAGCCCGAGAATCGTCAGGATCCACCTCCAAAGTGGTGGTAGAGGCAGTCGTAAGACTCTTCCCACCATAGTTACTGATACGAGCCTGGGAAACAGAGCAGAACATTCCGGACTATCCTAGCGGAGCGAAGCGCATTGAGTACGTTCTTTATCATCACAACAGGATGATACTGCACTCTATTCTCGTCCACTCCGCAATTCTGGGCCCTAAAAGCAGCATCTTCCCAGCCCCGAATGGGTGACGTCATTACGTCTCTCCCCACACCGTCATCTCAATAGAGCAACCACTATCGTCAACTATGGTGAAATTTCGTCGGGCTCTCTCCTGTCCAGTATTCCTCACCACAATCTGAAGCATAGCATAAATTACACAACTATAATGCTGATACGCCTCCTTAAGAATGGTAGAGGTTGACGATAGCTGTAGTACCGTAGAGATTGGAGCGCAATGCGTGATGATACCACATAGATCAACGAACTCATCAGCGTTGCGATCCTGAATCGTAGCGATCTTTGATATCCTGACGTTGAGTAGTCCTCATCTCCTCAGCCCGTAAGCACTTATCCTACTTATACAGTATCCGCGGTATATCAGCTGAGTCGTTGGCCTCCTCAATAATGGCATCATCATTGAAAGTGAGCTGATAAAGGCATTCATCATCTACTCAGGGTTATCACGTTACCTCATAGGCTGCTCCTGGATTGAACCTAGCATTGGCTTGCTTCACTTGGCCCTTACTGAAAGTATACACTCTGCCTTGTTGGATAGCAGGGTAGAACTTAGTGACAGCCTACACACCAGCAAGTGGCGAGAGAACTGACCAGGGAGGACTTACGCTGTTGAAGAAGGTCGCACGAATCTCGCCGTTTTGATCGTCGACTAATTCGATTGAGAATAGCTGTCCTTCTCCTCGAGCGTTGACGAAGGTTCGTACGTCCGATTTGCTCGACACTCTACCCTTGATGGTCCATCTGATAGCAAGTAGCAGCTGAGGATGGTATCACTCTGGATATTCCTACTTCTGCGAGTACACGCTGAGCTGTGATATCGGGATGATATCACTAGCGACAGGACGATACGACACTGGACCTAACAAGGGAGCAGGATATCCATTAGGAAGTCCTAGATGAGTGCCTTATTACCACTACTGTGTGGTTGTTGAGGTCCACCGTAGTGCTGCTGCTGCTGCTGATACGGCGGTTGTGGGCGACCAGGTTGGACGGCTCCTGGGATGGGTCGCTGCTGAGTGTTACCACCGAGAGACACTGTTTGATGACGACTGAGCATCCCACCGCCCATGGGTTGCTGTTGGTTGTTATGTTGCTGAAATGGCACGATGTGGCGGAAGGATGGTATATGCCGACAACCCACCTGGTAAGGATTCGTCGGGTTCGCCCGTAGTGGTGGTCCAGTGACTTTATGCGGATTTTGTGTTTGTTGTTGCTGCTGCATAAAAGTTGGTAATTGCCTCCCACCCGATGCCCCTGAGGACCCTGCTCCACTACTGCTACCACCACCACTGGGGGGCTGCTGATACTGATGTTGTGTTTGCTGCTGGTACCCCGTCTACACCCAAGACACCTCCCGTACAAGTAACATAGGGGAGCTTACTGTGGTAGTAGCAGAGCCTCCGTATTGCGGATACCCCCCAGTCGTTGTTGGGTCATCGAGAGTGGGGTAGTGCTGTAACTGTGAACCACGTCCAGCTGGCTGAGCCATACCATTCTAAAGGGAAGACCTCCTCACTACTATTAGACTACAAGATGAGATCCGTAATGATGATGATGATGATCCAAAGAGATACGACTCACCCCATGAGACGGTACATTCTCGTTAGCAGCATTGTTAGGCATCGTCGCTGAGCTCGGACGATAAATTGTCGGGTTACCTATAGCATCGCGTAGCGGCGGACACACCTGAAAGAGGACATAAAGAGTCTATAAAGAGGTGATCAGACTAAAGACTAAGAGTACCCTAAGAATAAAAGGAATTTTCACAGAGGTGTGAATCACCTGGAGAGGAGCCAACGATGCGATATTAGCCCATAGGAGAGAACATTTCCAGCCAGTCCTCTCGAGTACCTCTTCGCAATCCTTTATCAGGAATACGTGTTTACCCTTCACATTGGCAGAGGAGAACGTACATCGACACTGACAAGGAGATGACCATACTTGGGTTGTTGTGGAATTGTGAGGTTGCAAGGCTTCCACCCGCCTACCAGCGCGTACTGTCGGAATTGTACATTACCCTGTAAGAGATGTCCAAACGGCATTGCACTTGAGCAATGGCTGACACACAATGACCAAAGATAAGACAGAGATAACCTACATCCCATCAGAGACCACAACACGTAGTCTTCTCGTCCCGTTGTCGGCTGTACCCATAGCTGCTACAGCCGTGATCTGAAGGATTGGATGGTACCTGATACAAGCCGCACGATGAGGAGACGTTCGATAGAGTCAACCGGAGCCATGTATATCTAGACCGTGCATGAACTTGATGATAACAAATACAGTGGAAATAGGAGAAGAAAGACAAATAAGGGAGAGAGCAATGGCGAGGAGGGAATGCATCGACTTAACTTTGATTGATTCACTACTGCTAGAAACAATTGAAGTGCGAGGTCCCTACCGTCCGTGCACCTACCCATTAAGCTCATTTGGGCTCATAGTCGGCAAACGACTGATAGCACCTCGAGTGAGCATGCTACTCTCGGGGGGATTGTAACCAGACATTGAATCCTGCAAGCCCTGATGAGAAGCATACTCGACACTCCTACTACTGCTTATAATAACGACTCAACTCAATCCCTTCATATCGGCATGAATAAAAAGAGATGTCGTTAGGGCCCGTCCAAGAGCCATTGAAAATTATGTCGGACCAACAAGGCTACTCGCCAGGTGTGACCATCTTCTCATTGTACTGCTCAGCTGTGAGATACTTCTCACCATCAGCATTGATGAGGCCTCTGAAATGCACAGACTTCATTAGGTGGAGGAAATTTGTCGTGGCGAACGAACCCTAGAGAACCGTGACCAACTGAACCCTTTCCTACTCAAAATTGAGTTTCACGAGCCATCCATCACCCTCAGCGGCCTCGTTCACTTGGGATGGGGTATCCTCTAATGCCGCGTTAACCTCTACTACCTCCCCTCCTTTGGGTAGAGGACAGTACCTATCTCCAAAAAGTGTCCAACTTCAACCTATGATTAATTTCCAGGGCATCGAGGACACCTACTGTTATTACACTTCCCCCACGGCTTTGACGCTCTCAAGAGTGCACATAGTATCCCCTCCCTTCAGCTTGGTCCCTACTGGTGGGAAGTCTACATACCTGAAATGAGCACATTCCTGTTCCTATCCAAAATGATCACAGAAGCAGGCAAGCTACACTATCTCGCCGAGCTGATCCTGGGCATAGTTAGTGATGCCAACAGTAGCACTGCTCCCTTCCACTTTGATCCACTCATGGCTTTTAGTGAACACCGTAGTACCTACAGCTTCAGTAGACCACAGGGTTATCCACGACGACGACTCACTGGATGAAAAAGGACGGTATGTACGCATGCACAAGGGAGGCTGAACTCTTAGGATGCTCCTCGCTGTAATCCCTCGAACCGATGTTAAAAGCATTGTATGCAAAATTGAACCTGAATAGAGTCGCCGTCCGAGGTACCTGGTTCGATTCCTGCACTATGCATTTTTCCCAACACAACAAAGAAGACTCAGCGAGACTGCTTTGCTCTTGCCAAATTAACAGTCTCCATAACAACATCCGGAATCCCCCCAGCCACAGCCCATGTAAGGTCACCATGAGTGTCGTACATGAACCTGACCTCACAACACTCACAAACAAAGGCAGAAAGGCTCTACTGGTAGCAGTATCGAACGTCACTACAAGCACTCGCTATGTGGCCGCTCATGTAGAACTGGAAGTATACTGAGAGGTACCCATCTGCTATGTTAGACCATGTTGGTATGATCTGATTAATACACGATCCCTGCATACTTCACCTGATGATGTCCGACCCTACCGACGTTGGGAATTCACCAGTAATGCCTTTGCCGACAGCCATGACTCTCGGATGGGTAGCCGATAAATCAAAGACCAATGGATTCAACTTCGACAGGCACTCACTGACAATCATGGCCAAGTACTTCGTCTCGGAACTTGCCCCCCCCCCCCCAGCCGTCACCTCAACGATCCTGATATTGTGTTGTTGCCGAGATCGAATATTTGGATATCCAACAGCTTGCAGACCTGCTGCTTCCATGACGACCGAGGGGAATCATCAGCACGCATAGGGAAGGTGTTACATCTTGTATCGGGAGGATATCATCTATGAGGTTGTCTTCAAGTTGAATAATCTTCAATTTGCGCAACCTCCCA